GCCCCGTCGGGGCTTCTCCCCGGCGACCTGCCCTCTCCCGCCCGGCCGCCGTCTCCTCAGAGAACCGCGTCTGGGGACGCGCCCGCTCCTCTGCGGCTCCTCACCGTCGCCATCCTCCAAGCCCGGCCGCCTCCCAGACCCTGACCGTCCCCACCGGTTACCTCAAGTCCCTCCCTCAAGCCTGGGGGGTGAGGGGCCGGGCAAGTGTCTCCGCCTCTCACCTCCATGAGGCCCCCCAGCCCCTCCTGGACTAGGTACAGCTCCTGGGGTACGGGAGTGAGAGGGGGCGTCGAGGCCCGGCTCCCTCAGCCCGCACCCCGCCGCCGCCGCCGCCGCCGCCGCCGACCCGGGCGCTGCCTGGAGCCGGTCTGTGGGTGGGGAGGCCGCAGCGGGGAGGGAGGGGCGGGGGGGAGAGGCCGTTACATTGCCTACCCCTGGCTCGCGACCCGGCACGCGACCCCGCACCGGCCTTCCCCCCCCCCCCCCCCCCCCTCGTGCGAGGCCCGCCCCTCGCTTCGCACCTCCTCATTGGCCCGCTGCCCAACCAATAGGCAACCGCCTCCAGGTCCTGTTACCCACAGAGACAAGGCCAAGAAGGGGCCGTTAGCTGACCTCGCTCTTCCGGAGCTTCTGAGCCTTTCCCGCTCAAAGTAAACCTGTTCGGGATTGGCCCTGACTGGCAAGCAGCAGCCCGATGGTTGGCTAATAGGGCAGCAGAGGGGCGGGGCGTGGAAGGTGGGGAGGGAGCGCGGGCCTACCGGATAGGAGAAGTGATGGAAGTGGTCGGAAGATATGAGAAGTCGCTCAGCAACTGGCTGTTAATCCTAAACCTAACGCTGCGCACCTTGTGCATTTCATTTTTGTCCCTTGGTCCCTCCCCTAACTCCCAGAATCCTTTGGAGGGGCCAAGAGAATAATAGACGTGCTCACTTACGGAAGGTGAGGAACCCGTCATGGGATTGGGTGTTGTTGGGACTACCCCCCCCCACCCCTTCCGAGGGAGAGCCGCGCTCTGTTCTAGGCCCCAGGCCGCAACGAGGGTGAAGGCGTTTTGGTGTTAATGGAACTCTTGAACAAAGTTCACGCTGACCTGCACCAGACAAGCCATTTACGTGGGCAGTCCCATTTGGAGATAGGATAGTCTCAGAGAAATGCTAAATGTTGTGGGCATTGAAATATTGAAGATGAGAATCATAAACGCCGCAAACGCCTTTAAGGTGTTTATGTTTAAAATCAAAACTTGAGGGCGCCTGGGTGGCTCAGTTGGTTAAACAACTGCCTTCGGCTCAGGTCATGATCCTGGAGTCCCGGGATCGAGTCCCGCATTGGGCTCCCTGCTCAGCAGGGAGTCTGCTTCTCCCTCTCCCGCTCCCCCCTCTTGTGCTCTCTCTCTCTCTCAAATAAATAA